TTAATAAACTGTGATATAGGTATATCATGGAATACTATTTAGACATAAAAAAATGGAAACTTTGCATCTTTTGTATTTACCTAAATAGATTTGGAGAATGTTTTCTGAATAAAGTATTTCAAGAATAGATAAGCAAGGATCCCATATACTCAATACTAAATTGAAACTAGTACAGTAACAACTATATGCCTATACTATGGAAAAACACAATTAAACTCAAGAGGGGGAGGGAGTTCAGTAAGTTCCCACTCAACCAGTACAAAGTAGAGGTATATGGCACACTTGCTAGGTAAAGGACTCAACTACAACTGGGACTTTACCTTAAATGCAAACAATGAAGTTGATCGTATGTACCCTCTTATTAATCCAAAATTAAAAAAGAAGGTTTTTTGTTTTGTTTTGTTTTTAGAGACAGAGTCTCACTTTGTTGCCCTCGGTAGAGTGCCATAGTATCACAGCTCACAGCAACCTCCAGCTCTTGGGCTTAGGCGATTCTCTTGCCTTAGCCTCCCGAGCAGCTGGGATTAAAGGCACCCGCCACAACTCCTGGCTATTTTTTGTTGCAGTTTGGCCAGGGTGGGGTTCGAACCCGCCACCCTCAGTATCTGAGGCTGATGCCCTACTCACTGAGCTACAGGCACCCCCCTAAAAAGAATTTTTTATAAAAAAATTTTTGTCTAGTGATACTCAATTGCTAACAGGTTGTTATGAATCTGTGCTACTTAAACAAGTATACAACAAGGCAAGTTTAGTAAAATTGCTGAGATACTGTATTGTTTAAGGCTGTACTTTAAAAATGATGCATACAAAAGTAATAAATGACTCACTGTGTCTTCCATGTTCCTCTCCAAATTGTTTATCACAAAGTTTTTTGGGGTTTTTTTTGAGACAGAGCCTCACTCTGTTGCCCTAGGCTAGATTGCCATGGTGTCAGCTTGGCTCACTGTAACCTCAAACCCCTGGGCTTAAGTGATCCTCCTGCCTCAGCCTCCCAAGTAGCTGGGACTACAGATGCCCACCATAACACTAGGCTAATTTTTTCTAATTTTAGGAGAGATGAGGTCTTGCTCTTGCTCAGGCTGGTCTCAAACTCTTGCGCTTAAGTACTTGAGCTCAAGTGCTAGATTATAGGCATGAGCCACTGCACCCAAAAGTTCTTTTGTTCAGCTAATGAAATGAATAGTTAAAATTATATTTTGAGGATTATATTCTAAGAGAAAAAGATGAAGCAAGAATAATGTTATCTTGTCTAGCTTGTCTTTAGATTAAGTAAGACTGACTTTCTCTCACTACAACTGGAAAAGACAGGTCAGTAATTTCAAGAGCTTCCTTGGCTAGTGGAAAGGAGAATTAATGCTTCTTTCTTCCGGTATTGCTCACCAGTCTCACACAAATATTTAGCTTTTCTCGGGACCTCATAGTATGTTGCACTAATGACAAAAGGAGAGGTTATTTCTACAGGTGAAGTATAAGCAACTTCAAAGTTAAAGGAAGTAAAAGAAAGCTTTGAGGATAGTAGAAATTGGCCATAAATTAACTGCAAGTTTTGTAAAAGGAGTGCACAGTAGCAATGTGCTTTGTATCTTAGCAGCATGTGCAGAATTCTGTACACTCAAGCAACCTTTTTCTTCTCCCACTCTCCCAAAGGCCATAAATGATAATATGAGAGAGTTAGCATTGAAAAGGTAACTATGCTGTTTAAATGTTCTTTGGGACAAATCATGGGTGTACTAGATGCTAAAATTACAATGGAGGAATTAAACATGCTTCCTCTATCAGTAAGGAAGGAACTATAAGTTCATGTATGATCTCTAAGAAGTTGTGTCTTAGAGTATAATTAACTGTTTAATGTGGACCTAAGTATTCAACAAAGCTTATCTAACACACTTTTGAATGTTTGATCTTTATGTTATTGTAGTGACCTCAAGGAAAGGCCAAATGTGTCTGCTGACTTGGATAATAAGTATTCCAAAATTTGCTTATTCAAACTTCTCAGGGATATAAGGATTGACTGCTGGGTTCATCATCTACTCTCTTAAGAATTTCTTTTTTTTTTTTTTT